AATAACCACTATATCGAATAACACTTTAATTACGCGTTTGTAGATTATTCTATATGATGTTGTAGTGAAGAACAAAAGTGTGAACAATCGAATGTATTTGAATACAAAATCGCAGAATCTCTTAGTATAATCTAAGAACCATACAGTAAATAATTCATTTGCATAATATCAATCAATCATCTCAGACTTGATTGTTCTTTCATTTCCACACCAATCATTCTCTGTTCTCTTTCACTTTTCTTTGATCTTATTAACCTTCTGCTGCGAAGTATTTCACATTCGATTAATGATATATAATACTTATATCTGTCGACATCAGTAGCATACACCACAATCTGATCAGTATTCAATGACCAATCCATCAGTTTTTTTTTTCTTACTTACATTTATTCACATTTATGTGAACAGAGTTACATATTAATGCCAATAAATTTAGACCAAACTCCGCCTAGAGTCCCTCCGGGGGCTACTGCCAGTCCCAAGCCCGAATAAAAAAGGAAGGTTGGGCATGGGGTTAGCGACCCCATCCAGTAGAAAACTAACTCGCTAAAAAAACGCTAACCAGAAAATTTAGACCAATTTCACAATTTTTGTGTCTATTACACCATTTTATTTATTTGAGATTGAAAAACTTTGAATTTTCAATTAACTAATCTCTTAGATAATATTTTCATCATCAAGATAATCATAATCGGTTCCCCATTGATGGATATCACTAATGCAGACTTGAATATTCTTTCAAATATTTTAACAATCTAATTCATTTAAGAATATTTATATTCCCGAAAACTGTAAATTACAGGGAAACATTTCCATTCTTTATATTTGTCACACATATTCAACCTCTGAAGTATTATTATTACAAATATCTATGAAGTATGTTGTTGAAATACAACCTTTAAAATGACTTGGTGTTCTTTTACTTGTAACGTCCTATTGTTATTTAGGACTCCAATTGATCAGTCTCATGTTGGCATATGTGCATCCTGTGTGGATTGCCTCGATATAGCCTTAAGTCACAAGCATTTTAAGCAAAGATGGATAGTGGCTAGTAGTGAAATTCAGTTTGATGAGCGTTTCGTCCTATTAAGGACTCGTCAGCCGAATGTACCTGTATCTCTGAGTTGATATTTACTATGGGGATCGAACCCAATATTGTTCGCTTCAAACGCCATCAAGTGAATTTAAATATCACCCCATTGTACAAGTAGGTAATTATCAGGACTCAGTAGGTAAGTGGATGGTATTTGGAGCAAAAGGTAATGCGTTTGTGCCACGGATTGAACATCAACTCTGAGATGAAGGTACATCCGGCTGACGAAACGCGCGTCAAACTGCATTCCACTATCCACTTTTACAACCACAAAGCATTTACATTTAGAATACACTGAGAAACGAATGTACAATATCAGTAATCAGTTATTAATCCATTAACATTGAAGTTATTTAAAGAATAAACTCAATCAATATTGTTATATATTATAATATTAAACTAATCAGGGTGTTATTTATTACTTTATTATTCATGACATTAATATCCAAGCAAAAACGAAACATGATTGTATCTTTGCTCATAATTTCATTTTGATTATTGATTAAGATAAATAGCTTTAAATGATTCATATTGTTTGATATTATATAATTAGTTACTTACGCTTGTTACCCCTTCTGGAGGAGTACAAGGCGCTCACCAGGAATTATATTGATTAATATATAGTCTTTTAATCAGTACATTTTAATCTAAATATTAGATTTACATTTTGCTCATTAATAGTTATTAATATAATATGAATTGTTGGGACTACAATTTTGTCCAATTAGTAGATAAACTAATAAATCATCTTGAATTGTGGTTTGTGCTACTTATATCGATATTAGTAGTATATGACGTTAGTTGTGAACAGAATGTCTGGCATAGGAGAGACAAGAGGATCGAACAGTAATGAATGGTGTTCTCTTCACTACAGAACCACTCGGACAACTTTAGTGCTCTTTTTTATGTAAATTAAATAGTATGAAATGTTTTTGATTCTTATTGAACTACTCTTTGTAGACCTGTAGGCTACCATGAGATTGCATCTCCTGACTTTACTCCATTGCTTTGTGGATCAGATCTTTAGGTCGAAGGCTCCAGGTGTGGCTCCCAAAGAAAACCACCTGATTCAGTCTGGGTACCCAGACAGTATCATAGCTCACACATAAATCAAGTGACTTGTGTGGTGCATTGATGCATTATTACCGGAAAAATATGAATTTTGTTATTACAAATAGTTGGACTGTACACATTATTCACATTTGTAGATATTTATTCTCTCTCGACTTGAGGAATTTAAATCCGATTCATGTTCACGAAGAGATCCAAACACCATGTGATGTTATGATCACATAACGAAACTTAGATGATGATTTCAGAAATTTGTGGACCCGGGATCTGGTGAGCCCAACGTGATTTGAACACGCATCCTTCTGTTATGGAGTCAGATCTCGGGTCACTAAAAGATTATATTCTACCTTAATTTTGAACAGAATATTCAAGAGAAAATGTGGAAAAACATTAACATTGCCAGTTCTTCAACTGTTGAAAACTTGGTTTACACTAATACTCATTGGAAAAACTTTTGCACGTTCCTTACTCCTCAGTTAATATTATTGGAATTCTAACTGGTCTATTGAAAAATTCAGTTATCATAAACTGTGACTGTACAATACTTAATTAGTTCAACAGAATAGATTTGTCCATAGATTATATCTATTTTTGGTGAAATTTTTACTATTTATTTCATGACTTGCGCACATAAGTCAAAGTGCATTCATGACTTGCTCACCCCAATGCAATAAAAGACCAGCTGTTCATTTGGGTGGAATGATATACTCGGACGATCCTGAGAGTTTTAGAGTAACTGTAACCTCTGTCAAATTATGGTGAATGTATCTTCCTTAAAATTGGAAGTGCCTATACTACTTAGGACATCAAAGTAATCTTTTCTTCAATACAATACAAATATTTCTATTAATAATGAAAATTGGTATTCCAATATGAATTATCTGTCTAAAAAACATCCACTAATACAAACGATGGACTGGAAAAAAGCCTTTATAATTTTTGCCTACTTCTATATAGTAAGTAGTATAACTAATAATCTGCTTGCAGCTATTCTAGAGTTACTACCGGTCTCAAGCCCAAACAAAGGAAGAGAGTTGAGCATGGAATAAACAACCCCGTCCCATAGAAAAAAACCTTGCTGTAATAACGCTAGCCAGGATAAGCAAACTAACCCATCTAAACTTTTTCCTAGGAATTTAAATATCTTCTCTCTGAAGAATTATGATGCCTCATGATGAAAGTCTAGATTCTTCGGAAATCACGTGGATGATACACCTAACAACCAGAGCAACCATTATAGTAGGTACATATAATGTCCGGAAACTGTGGGAGACTGGAAGGACAAGTCAAATAGCTGCAGAAATTAAGAGATACAACTTAGATTCAGGACAGATGCTGTTGTACTCCGCTCACGAGGAGGAAAATGCCTCACACATTCAAGGAGTTGCTCTGATGCTGTCCAAAGAAGCACGTAAAGGATGGGAATCTCATAGATCCAATTTCATCAAAGCATCCTTCAAAACAAAGAAGTAGGGAATCACAATGAATGTTATCCAATGTTATGCAACCACCAATGATAGCAATGGCAACGATAAAGGTCAATTCTATAAGAGGTTACAATCAATCACGATGAAGTGCACAGAAGAGGACCTTACAATCCTAATGGGAGATCTAATCGCCAAAGTTGAAATGGGCAACATTGGATATGGAAATATAATGGGACAACACGGACTGAATGAGCGAAAGAAACGAGAATGGTGACAGATTTGAAAATCTATGTGCATTCAACAAATTGGTTATAGAAGGCACAATATTCCCACATACATGCATTAACAAATCTACATCGGTTTCACCGGGTTATACCACGAAAAACTAGGTGGATCATATTTGCATCAATGAAAAATTCAGAAGGACAATGGACGACTTGAGAAGTACGAGAATTAAGCTGACAGGGACAGTTAAACCAGAACTTTTCACCAATTAATCAAGTCATTCACTGTTGGGCTGAGTCACGTACATAGATGTTAAGTACTTGATCCCGGGTCCCAGTGATAATCTTAATCAGTAGTTCAAGACGTTGCATGACATAACTCAGAATCATACACATTAGCACAGATGTATTCATTCTTTATCATTTCCTGAATCTTCAGTTCTAGCATTCTCTCTACTATGCATTCATTTCGAACCATATTCTTAACGTTCAATCTTTCTTATCATCCCTTTTTCATCTAATTCTGTTGTTATGATACGGCAATTTGAGCTATCACATATTTATCCCAATACTTATCCCAAATGAGTTACATGGCAAGCCGTCATCACATGGAATCCAAAGAAAAAGAGGAACCCTAAAGGCCAAACGAAAAGAGGAAGACTAAAGGACACATTACATCGAGAAATGGAGACAGACATGACGAGAACAAACAAAAAATGGATAGAACTAAAAAGGAAGGCCCATGAGAGAATGGGTTGAAGAATGTTGGTCGGTGGCCTACGCTCCATTGAGAGTACCAGGCGTAGGTAAGTAAGTATTTAATTAAATCTATCAAATATCCTTAAACACATCTTATTTCATATTCATTCAATAATGAAATAGTTAAAATGATAATTATATAATTAAAATCTATGATAAAGATGATGACTATAGTATTTCATTTATTATAAAGCATATCCAATACTATTCATTAACTTAAATGAAATTAAACCATCACCTATTACATTACATTAAAACAATATCTTTGAAATAGTTATTACGTAATAAATTCATAGATCAATCATTTATACCAATAATCATATTTTGGACAAAAAAAAAGAGAGAAACAAAAGAAATTCCTAAGATGTTTTAACATGTGATGGAACTAATGAAATTTTATAATATGATCTATACAAAGGTGCTAACCTTCGTGTAAATGTTCTAGGTGAAATTGTTTCCATATCAATATTATCATTATTATCAGTAGTAGTAGTAGTAGTAGACATAGTAGTAGTAGTCATAGTAGTAGTATTGGTATTCTCTCTAGATTGATTAATTATTCTTGATTGATTATTAATTGATTGTATATAACTTGGCTTTGGTGGTATTAATGGTGTATAAGAAGAAGTTTGTTTTATTGAATAATGACTAGGTGTCTTTGTTTGAGATTCCTAAAATAATCAATAGAACAAAAAAAAAATAAAAGAAAAAATTGATAATTCTCTGTACAATATAGATATCAACCAGAAACTAAAAGAAAAAAATCACACAAAAAAAAATGTTTCTACAACCTCATGATGATATACCATGAAGTTCAATGTGGCTAATTTAATGTTTCTCAAATTTTTCTATTTTTCATTCAAAATTTGATGTTTCTTTTTTCCTTATCCATTTTTTTCTTGAATTCGTTTTTTCTGGTTGGTGTTTTTTGTAGTGAGTTAGTTTTCTAACTCATGCCCAACCCTCCTCTTTTGTCCGGGCTTGAGATAGGCAGTAAACCCAGGGGGGCTCCAGGTAGAGGCTAGCTCTCACTTGGAACCGTCAAAGACAAAGGAGAAGATTAAAACCAAAGAACACATTACGCGCAGAAATGGAAACAGATATAAAAAGAATGAATAAAAATTGAATAGAAGTAGATAGGAAGGCCCAGACGATAGTAGGTTGGAGAATGCTGGTTGGCGGTTTATGCTCCATTGGGAGTGATAGGTGTAAGTAAAGTAAATTTTATTTTTAAATCCTCATTATTTGATTTCTTTTCAATATTTCGATTGAGATCATGAACCGATTGATGCTAGACCACCATTGCAAACCCTGAAGTACTGGACGACCGTTTTTTCCTACTGTGGGATTCCTCAGGAGTGCGCAGCCATGACCATGCTCGTGAGGTTCGAACCCAGGGCCTTCAATCCTGCTTGAGAACGCCTGACCCACTGGACCACTGAGCCGGCTTCCAACGGTGTTAATGTCTTACCTCGACCAATTCTTTTCAATAGTTTTAATAATGTGGTATTACTAATATTAGAAATAATATTAAATATTTATTTTCATTTGCTTAATCTTCTACTTAATCACGCATAAAGAGCTATTGTAACAATTCGATCATGTAGTCTGGTCTATAGATTTAGTTTTTCATAGGTTAAATAACTAACGGATAACCGTCTTGCAGAAACTATTGAGATACATTATTAAATTAATCAACCATCGTAATGATTTTATACTTAATTATAAAACTTATGTATTCGTGTAGCATATTGGTGAAGTATTAATTTAAAAGACAGCATAGCTCTTCACTTATTATGAAACAATCAATGTATTTGATGATATTGATCGTACAATCAGTGATTTCATATGATTCCTAATGGTCATGGATGGTGGAGCAATTTTATGGATTAGTTGAAGTTAGACATTAACACCGTTGAATGCCGGATCAGTGGTCTAGAGGTTAAGCGTCCGCGCATGAGATCGGAGGTCCTGGATTCCAATGCAGCGAGTAGGATCGTAGATGTGCACTACTGAAGAGTCCCATGCTAGAACGAAACAGCCGCCCGATGCTTCCAAGTTTTCATGGTTATCTAGCTTTAATTGACTCCTAATAGTTTTGTGTAATTTGTATAGATATTTTCTTTAGGTGAACTAATTCATCGACTGATAACATAAATTTTCTTGAATTTCTGAGTGGAGATCTAAGTGTTCCTATTTCGAACATTATCGATTTGGCAGTAAATCACAGTTGCAGAATATATTCCTTGTCACACTCACTTCAACCAATCGCTGATTTTCATGTCCTACATAGTGAATTAACGTTTATACCATCCGCAACTTAGCATCTAAACATTTCAAGTGTTAAGATTTATTTAAAGTATAAAAAGATTGCTAAACTCTTTTGGCAAAAAAGCATTCAATTAATATGAAGATAGATTAAGGAAAAACATTTGACAATGAATTAGTATTCCTTTTAAGTAAAAGAAACCTAGTCAAGCTTATGTAATAGCTGACACACTTTTGTATAATGACCATTAGAAGACAAATTTTAGATGGTTGGATGTAGTCAGCAGGAAATCACAGAAATATATTTCATGTTAGTTGGCACATATCAACAAAGCGTACCCGTAATTTAGAGAGAAATAATGCTACCTGAAGGATTAAAACTGTGAAACTGGATGATTGTTTTGAAATCATCAGGAAAAACTAGTTCGTTGAAATTCTATTGTGTACCTTACTGACGAGCACGATTAAGTTAAAAACAGGGATTCTTGTTGACTGCCTCGAAATATTTAATATCTCAACAGTGTACAAACTTTGACACACTCAGACTAGTGGTCACATTGTAACTTGACTAACAAAATTCGATCAGTACTAAACATAACCGACATTCGTTACTAACCTGTAATCAGTCAATTTTAAACGTTAGATAACTCATAATATGCCTTTTGAATCATATTCCGAACTATTGATCGTGGATCATAAAATCTTGCATAAACAGATCTCAGTGTAATAGGATATGAACTCAAGACAATAATTACAATAAATAGATGGCATGTATTATGAGAATAACATAAACTAAACGTTTATGATATTTAGCTAGATTCAATAAAATGCAGTTGAATTCAAATAGAGAATATGAAACCAAGATGACAATCTATCAAAAACTGGCTAACTTCTTGTTATCTACAATACTTTCAACAGTATTGTTGATTACATTGAACTGGATAGTTTAGTTATAGAGCTATCATTATCATTATGGATAATATCATCAACGCTTAATTTATGTAGAAGTAAGTTACTTATTTATTATATTAACTTTAATTCGGTTTAGTCTGATGAGTTTGTTCGTAATGTGTTATTTCAAATTGAAATGAATTATCAGAGATCAACGAAACAAATTAGTGAACTTGAGTACAAGACTTAAAGAAGACAATCAAACATATAGAAGTTCACCAAGGCACTTTTTGAATAACTAAAAAGTTTATTTCTACATGAAGTATACTCTAATGATATTGTCCGCAAGAATAATAAACAGCGACGTCATTAAATTTATAAACTCAAAGTTCTATTTTTATTTTATTTAAACACATATACATTGATACAAGGAGGCACATAATAGATATGTACCACACAAATCATCCGATTTGTGTGAGGGATGGGATACTGTCCAGGTGCCCAAACCGAAACAACTGGTCTTCTTAGAGGGCCACTCCCGGAGCCTTCAACATAAAGATCTGATCCACAAGGAAGTGGAGCAACGTAAGAAGATACAGTCCCATGGTAGGCGGTCAACAATAATTGGTTGATACGCCATTTATTCTTTCAGGATACTGGAGACCATGTACACCATTGGTTTGGAATCAGGATTTTCCAACTCCCCTAGGTAGAATTTCCGTGTCCACCAACCCGGTTAAAGCGCCAGACATTCGCTTTACGTCCTCTCGATTTCGTGAACAACACCCCCGACGCAAAAACGCAGTGAGTAGGACTTCCGTAGCAGTGGTTGTATGTACGTAGACTGTGAGAGCATTTCGTGAGGGAGATCTGACTCTTTTCACTCTCGACTGTAGCAGGTCATTTGGGGGTTATAAACCCAAAGAACTCAGTGATATTAAAATTGGGCACCTAAGTTACACATCTTGTTCATCAGTTTATTTAGTTCATTTTTTCTTTAATTTCCACTAGACACTGAGTAAACGATCAACTTTTTTAATTAACAATAAATATCAATATGGCGATTTACCAAGATCGTAGTATTTTCACAGTTAAATTCACTAATCAATCTAATCTAGATCATCATTTAAAACCTAGGAGCATTAGATGGCAAGAAAGGACCTCACCATTCTGATGGGAGATCTAAACGCCAAAGTCGGAATGGACAACACCGGATATGAAGACGTCATGGGACTACATGGACTGGGAGAGAGAAACGAAAACGGGGAAAGATTTGCAAATCTGTGTGCATTCAATAAATTGGTCATAGGCGGTACAACATTTCCACACAAACGTATACACAAAGCTACATGGATCTCACCGGACCACACCACAGAGAACCAGATAGATCACATTTGCATCAATAAAAAGTTCCGAAGGACAATGAAAGATGTGAAAACCAGGAGAGGAGCGGACATAGCTTCAGATCATCACCTGGTTGTGGCCAAATTAAAACTGAAGCTAAAGAAGAACTGGACAAACAGCACCACAAAGGTTCAATACAGCCTTCCTTCGAGATACTGACAAACTCAATGAATTCAAGGTAGCTCTCAACAACAGGTTCCAAGCCTTACAGGATCTACTGAAGGGAGAAGAAACTACTATGGAGGATAGCTGTAAAGGTATCAAAGAAACATTAACTTCAACGTGTCAAGAGGTTCTGGGCCCCAAGAAGCATCATCACAAGGAATGGATCTCTACAGAAACACTGGACAGGATCAAAAAAAGAAAGAACAAGAAGACAGCAATTAACAACAGTCGAACAAGAGCAGAGAAAGTCCAAGCACAAGCAGAGTACATAGAAGCAAACAAGAAAGTGAAGAAGAGCATTAGAGCTGATAAGCAAAAATACGTGGAAGAACTAGCAACGACGGCGGAAAAAGCTGCAAGAGAAGGGAATATGAGACAGCTTTACTATACGACGAAGAAGCTTGCAGGGAAATACAGTAAACCAGAGAGACCAGTCAAAGACAAAGAAGGAAGACCAATCACTGAGATTCAACAACAGCGCAACAGATGGGCAGAGTACTTCTAGGAACTCCTGAACAGGCCGGCTCCAATGAATCCACCGGACATCGAAGCAGCACACACAGATCTTCCTATAAATGTCAATCCACCAACGACAGAAGAAATCAGAATGGCGGTCAGACAAATCAAGAGCGGGAAAGCAGCAGGACCTGACAATATACCAGCTGAAGCGTTGAAGTCAGACATCGAAGTAACTACAAGCATGCTTCATCTTCTATTCAAGAAGATTTGGGAGGAGGAACAAGTGCCGATGGATTGGAAAGAAGGACACCTCATCAAGATTCCATAGAAAGGAGATCTGAGCAAGTGTGAAAACTACAGAGGCATTACACTACTGTCAATACCGGGTAAAGTCTTCAACAGAGTGTTACTGAACAGGATGAAAGACGCAGTTGACGCTCAACTTCGAGATCAACAAGCTGGATTCCGTAAGGACCGGTCGTGCACAGACCAGATTGCGACACTACGGATCATCGTCGAACAATCAATTGAGTGCAGCTCATCATTATACATCAACTTCATTGACTTCGAGAAGGCGTTTGACAGTGTAGATAGAACAGCACTATGGAAACTTCTTCGACACTACGGAGTTCCTGAGAAGATTGTCAACATTATCCGGAACTCATACGACGGACTACAGTGCAAAGTCGTGCATGGAGGACAGCTGACAGACGCATTCCAAGTAAGGACCGGAGTGAGACAAGGCTGTCTACTCTCTCCCTTCCTGTTTCTTCTGGTGGTCGACTGGATTATGAAGACCTCGACATTTGAGGGAAACTACGGCATACGATGGACAGCTCAGAACCAATTAGGCGACTTGGACTTCGCAGATGACCTAGCCCTCCTATCACATACACACGAACAAATGCAGACAAAGACAGCCAGCATAGCAGCAGTCTCTGCATCAGTAGGCCTCAACATACACAAAGGGAAAACCAAGGTCCTCAAACACAACACGGAGAACAGCAATCCAATCACTCTTGATGGCGAAACTCTGGAAGATGTGGAATCCTTCACATACCTGGGAAGCATCGTCGATAAACAAGGAGGTTCAGATGCAGACGTCAAGGCGAGGATTGGCAAAGCTAGAGCGGCATTCCTTCAACTGAAGAACATATGGAACTCAAAACAACTTTCAACCAATATCAAAGTCAGAATCTTCAATACGAACGTCAAGGCAGTTCTACTGTACGGAGCTGAAACTTGGAGAACTACAACAACCACCATTAAGAAGGTACAGGTATTTATCAATAGCTGTCTACGCAAGATACTCAACATCCATTAGCCGGATATCATCAGCAACTGCCTTCTGTGGGAGAGAACAAACCAGCTTTCAGCTGGACAGAAAATTAGGAAAAGAGGATGGAAATGGATAGGACATACATTAAGGAAATCATCAAAATGCATTACAAGGCATATAATACTCATGAATTAAGGCCATATAAAAAGTTAATATGCACAGTATACACATGTGCATAATGAGTGACTGATGAATTGCAGTCCAAAACATTAATGAGAAGATTCAAAAACTTCACCCCATTACACAAACAAGTGGCTATCAGGACTCAATAGCTAAATGGATAGCGTGATAGTATTTGAAGCGAACGGTACTAGGTTCCAGTCCTCTAGTGAACATCTACTCTTAAATGCAGTTATATCCAAATGAAAAGTCATAAATAGGACGAAACATAAGTCAAACTGGATTCCCCTGCTATTCTACCACTATCCATCATTGCTTAGAATGCTTGTGACTTAAGGCAATACAGAGGCAATACGTACAGGATGCAGATATACAGTCCTAAACATCAATAGGAAGATTTAAGTAAAAGAATACCAAATGAATATAAACATTATATATGATTATAAATGAACTTTTTCATGAATAAAGAAGAATATATTTATAAAATCTTAATGATTGAATTTGATATAAATCTAACATTTCATTTACTGATACATTCTCCCTCCTTATTGTGTTACATCAACTCAGAGCTCATATACTGTGAAACTGTTATGTCCTGATAAGAATAATGAATGGTAACTTTGGAATCCATTTGTGGATCAATACTATACGTATAATTTTATCGCATAATTGTTAAATAACTAAACTATCCATATTCATATCTCTCTTATCATAAATTTTATTTTAACCTATGAACTATTATTATACGATTTTCCATTCTTTAATTATTCCCTGTTTACTAATCACTACCTTCCACATTCACAGCCACATTTGACCAAATTTTGTACTAATGTTATGGTATGTTGTGGTCTGTTTGACTGGTATATAAACTGAGTATGTTTGGTGTTTTGAACTTAATTGGCTAGGCTAGGCGGAAAGCAGGATCAATCAGAACTCTAGGCTGCTCATACGAGTTTTACGCTTCATTGATCCTAATCGATAAATCACTGCTCTCCAATCGGCGGTCACAAGTTATAACAGCAACTCATTCATTCAAAAAGTTCTTATAGAACTTTTCATTAGTTTTTATATATTTTCAACATTAAAATTCATTGAAAGGTTTTTTGAATATGATGTGTGAACGGGAATGATCATGAATGGTTGTTCGCTTAGTCAGACATGTAGACAGTCTGACAGGTGTCAGATAAGTTATATATTCCTTTATCCTTATTATTGTGACACACGCACTTATTATTGGTTGTCTATTGTTGTTGTATTGTGCCGGTTTCGGGTGTGAAAATATATTCACGTTGTGATCAGACTAATTACGTGTTCTTGATCTGAGTGTACTGAACAAGAACACCAGTGGGAACAATCGGATGTGTTTGTCAACAAATTACAGAACTAGTTAGTTAAATCTATCAACCATATAATAAATGCTCAATTTGCAAAATATCCATCAATTGTCTCTAACGACTCAGACTTCCTTTATTCATGCATTTTCATACAAATTGCGTTCTGTTTTCATTCTTTACTGTTCGATCTTCTTGTCTCCCTGTTGTCAGGCATTCTGTTCACGATTAACATCATATACTACATATGTCTACATAAGTAGCACACACCATATGAGTTGTGTTGAAGTCCTGTAGAATAGACACTGGTAGGCAATCTAGTGTAGATAATTGTTTAAACGTTATAACATTAGACGAAGTAATAAAGAACGTTATAACAGAATAACTTACTAGTTTTTTATTATTTTCATTATTTTCAATTGTTATGAAATGATTTTGACTAAATGTAACTGATTTAGGATATTCTTTACTTATCATATTATTATCATTATTATTATTATTATCATTATTTATAGTTGATTCAATTAAATGATCTGTTCTATTTGTTAATAAAGCTAATGAATCACCTAATTTATATGCACCAACACCGGTAGCTGCAAGATATGCAGCAGTACTACCAGCTGTTCTATTAATTTGACTACTATTAGTAGTATTAGTAGTATAATCCAATTTTGAATGAATTGTTTTGTTTATATTATTATTATTATTACTTGTTTGATTATAATAAGAAGATGAATCAATAAGAGAATTAGATGTTTGATCTAAATATCTATTCGATAATTGTGTTAAATATGCTAATGATGATGAATTTGATATGGATTTATCATGATCTAATTGTATTTTATGAATTAATTCACCTTTACTTATAGATGATGATAAATTTTGATTAAAATTAATTGATTTTGTTGCTTTAGCTAATGATAATAAATTTGTTGTATTCCATAAATGTTGATCAAATGGTATAGATGATGTTTGTGCCATCATACTATTGGATTTATTATTATAATTACTATGTGTATGAATAATAGCGGTAATATTAGAATGATTTAATAATTGTTTATTATTTAATGGATAATAACCATTATTATATAAAAGATCATTTGTAATTGTTTCTTTTTTATTTAATAATTTTGTATCTATATGATTATTATAATCATTTATTGATTTTATAGTAGATGAATTTATATCGATTGAATCTAATAAAATATTATTAATATCATGTTTATCTTCTATTTGATTCATTGTTGTTTGATACCAATCTCTTGGTTGAGGAGATAAATCTTTTATAGATTTCATTTTATTTAATGTTAATTGTCTTGATATATGTTGTGATGTATTTTTAGATAATAATGAATCATTATTAATTGAATTAGATAATTTAGGATATATGATAATATTTTTACGTGATTCTGTATAATGTTTCATTGATTTAATATTTAATGGTATTTCATAATTTGTTGATGAATATAATGATGATAATGGATCATTGATTGTATTTTGTATTGTAGTAATATTACATGCATATGGATAATAAATAGTAGATTTTGATGCATTTTTATTTTCTATACGATTATAGGATAGTGTTTGAGATTTATGTGGTATTGTTGTTAAGGGATTTAAACTTGTTTCAGTGGTTGATGTGGTTGTTATTGTTGCTGTTGTCATCATGGTTGTCATGGTTGTTATTGATTTATTTTGATTAAAATAAAGTGATTTAGATCGATTAATTGTAGATACATTGATTGATGATGGTTTTGTAGTTTCTATTATGGATAAATTATCATTAATTGATTGAATTGAATATTTATGATTAGGATGAATTGTTGTTTGTTTCATTGAATTCAATTGTTTATATTTTGATTTTATTGGATTAGTTTCAATTTGATAAGAATTAGTTAAACTAATAGATGGTTTTATACTAGAAATAAATTTACTCTCTATCTCTTCATGATTCGTTGAATAGGGATTTAAGGCAGATATAGTTGAAATTGGACTGTATGAATCATCTTTTATAATATTTTCATTTGATAAATTATTTAATGTTTCACTATTATTATTATTATTAACATAATTATCTGTTTTTGAATGAATTGAAATGATTGCAGAAGGTTCATCATCAGTATTCTTGATAGATTTTATTCCATTTGCACCAAGCCAATTACCAACTTTCATTTTTGGATATATATCTGAATTATTTGTTTGTTTTAATACATCATTAACAAATTCATCATTCTCATTTAGATCATTATCATCTTCATCAGCTGATTTTAATGGTGATGAAGATAATGTATTTACTGAACCAGTACAATAACCATTTACACCACCATTAACACCACCACCACCACCATCAACACCATCAATATTATTTAAATTTACATCAATTTGTAATGGTTGTTCTGTTGCTTCAGCATTTGCTTCAACACCGGAACTAATTGAATCATCATTAATATTATCATTATTATGATTATCATTATCTATATTTGATTGTATTATATTCATTATATTTGTTTTATTAATTTGTTCTATTTTCATATTATTTTGTTGTTTTTCATTATTTATTATATTAGTTTCATTTATTATATCATTTTTATTTTGATAAAATTCATTAATTGATTTCTTTTTATCGATTAATAAATTACCCTCAACAACAATATTATTGATTTCATTAAGATTTTTATGAATACCAGGAATATTGATTAAATTCGGTGTTGATAAACTACTTTTATGTTGTTGTTGTTGTTGTTGTTGTTGTTGTGATAAATATTCTTGATCTTGTAATGTTTGTAATTGTAATTGTTGTTTTAATCCTCCAGTCAATTGATCAGTTAATCGTTTATTCATGAAAAGTTGATCGTTTAAATCATCTAATTCATTATTATTTCTACGTGTTTCTACTATAAATAATAATAAAAATAAATTAATTAATGAAAATGGATCATATTCATTGAAACTAATGAAGTAAGATAAACTACTTTTAAATGAAATTTAATCTATTATAATGTAAGAAATAAACTTGAATTCATTTTCAGAAGGGGTTTTAAAGAGATTTTTTAGAAATTTCAATAGTTGAAATCATGAATCAATTGAAGGTAGACCACCAAGAAAAATTTGGAAGCACTGGACGGCCATTTCATTCTCAAAAGGAAATCCTCAGCGTGCGCATCCATGATCCCACCTTCAGCGTGATTCAAACACAGGATCTACCAATCTCGCACGTGAGCGCTTAAACATTAGACCATTGAGCTGGTCGGCATCCAAAGGTGTAAATGTCTAATTTCCATCAATCCACGAAATTCGACCATCGCACGTCATTGTCTTCAGTGATCTGATATCTCACAACAGACCTAATTGAACTCCACTGATCATGGCTTCTCACTTGAACTCCAAGAAATGCCTCTTGAAGTCATTCACTAGTGAGCAAATGATTGTAATCAGAAAGAGTTTTGTGGAGATGTTGTAGTAATTTCAGTAGTTTCGGCTCAGTGGTCAAGAGGTTAATTGCTCGAGCGCGAGACTGATAGATCCTGGGTTCGAATCTCACGGAGGGGGGCGGGATCGTGAATGAGCACTGCTGAGGACGAAACGGCTGTCCAGTGCTTCCAGGTTTTCCATGGTAGTCTTGCTTCAACTAACTAATGATTTCATTCAATTCATTTATTGATTAAATAAAGAGGAAGAAGAACACAATGTATAATTAGATGAACGTTATTTGAAATCAGTAGGGTGTATTAAATTTATCCATTCTATCATTAATATTCAATACGTATGGAGTATATATCATTCTATGATACCTTTCAGTTCATTTAGTGGGTAACTGATGTGTATAATAGTGAAATTTTTGTTGGATAGTTCATTTCCATCATTTGAACTTGTCCATAGCTGTCTGATATGAATATGTCATTATAGTACATAGTAACATAGTATATGAAAAACGCAAATATAGTCAACAATAGAGACTGGTTTGAATTCTCCAAAAAAATCACACTTATATGAGCTTTTTGCTCACTAAATAAACAGAAAAATGTCCGAAATTGTTGAATACCATACAGTTACTGAACGTCGAAAACAGTTGGCACATAGTTTTGGTGAATCTATCCCTAAAATATTGTAAATCACCTAAAGATTTTCAAATCATTTACTTTTATCACCCTGTGATATTTATGTTATGCATAAAATTAGTGAGATCATGAACGGATAGACGTTAGGCCACTATTGAAAACTTGGAGGCTCTGAACGGCCATTTTGTTCTATTGTGAAACTCCTCAGCACTGTGCATCCACGATCCCGTTTCGCGATATTCAAACACAGGACCTATCAGTCTCACGCGAGAACGCTTAATATCTAGGCCATTGAACCGGCATCCAACGGTGTTAATATCTAACTTCAACTAATCAACGAAATTAAGCGACACATCCACTACTGTCTTCAATAAGTTACTATCTCACAGAAGACCCAGTTGAACTGCACTGGTCACTGCTTCTCTCTAGAACTCCAGGAAATACCCTTTGATGCCAGTCACTAATGAGCATATGCTGATTAGTATGAGAAGGTAGTTTTCTGGATATTATAGTAATTTCAATAGGTGAAATCATGAGATCGATAGGTCTTGGGTCCGGATCACGCGAGGCAGGATCGTGGATGCACACTGCTGAGGAGACTTGCAATAGGACGAAACGACAGTCCAGTGCTTCCAGGTTTTTCATGGTGGTCTAGTAGCAATAGATTCATGATCTCAACTATTTAAATTACTATAATATCCACATAAACTCGTTCTGATACAAATAGATAATAATTCAATAATCCGGATAGAACTGATTGGCTAATAGTTGATTAAACTGATATAATTTGATTAAAGTTCCTAAATAAGGATCTACTGTTAAGACTTGATACTTCTTATGTAATCATGTAATTTTTTCGAAGAGTGATGGATAACTTCTAGTCAGTTAATGTAAGATAATTAAAAAAATCATTAGTCAGGTTATTTCAATAACATCAATATTTCTACATAAATTTCTTTTTTTTTTTTTTCATAAACTTACAAGAACTTCTATGATGATCTAAACCTTTGATTAATCGATTCATTCGTGAACTATCTTGAAGATTTTCATTACTATCCACATATTTACGATCCAAATCATTTTGACTTTGTGAATGTCGTTTATCATGAACACTTCTAAAAATTATATAATTAGAGTAGATTAATAGATATTCAATAGGACAAATATAAATGATTCAATATTAACATAAGGTAATATGTACCTAATTTTTAATTTTGATTTGAATGTTTCTCTTTTTCTAGCTATAAGTATGTATTAATAGTGTTCGAGATTTATTTGCTGTATTCAAGCATCAACTCATGTAATATTTATCGATATTATGGTGCATTTTAATTGTGTTAACAGCTCGAAATCAACTAGACGATTTGGACTTTGCAGATGACCTGGCTATTCTATCCCATACACATGAACAAATGCGGATGAAGACAACTACTGTAGCAGCAGCGTCTACAGCAATAGGCCTCAACATACACAAGACGATAAAGAAGATCCTCAAATACAACACGAAGAACACTGATACAATCACGCTTAATGGAGAAGCTCCGGAACCTGTGAAGTATCATCGATGAACAAGAAGGATCTGATGCATACGTAAAAGCAGTGTTTGGCTACGTAAGGAAAGCACTCCTACAGTTAGAGAACATATGAAACTCAAAAACACTGTCAACCAATATCAAAGTCACAATCCTCAATACAAACGTCAGTACAGTCCCACTGTACGGAGCTGAAACGTGAAGATCTACCATAACCATCATAAAAAAGGCATGAGTATTTATAAACGGTTTTCGACGCAAGATAATCAATGTATGTTGGACGGAAATCATCAGCAACAGCCCATGTGGGAGAGAACAAACCAGGTTCCAGTTGAAGAGGAATTTAGGAAAACACGATGGAAGTGGATAAGACATACATTTCGGAAATCACCAAACTGCATCATAAGACAAGCGCTCACCTGGAATCCTGAGCGGAAACAGAAAAGAGGAAGGCCCAAGAACACACTACGTTTGTAATCTGAAGCAAATATCAAAAGGGTGAATAGTAACGGGAAAGATCTGGAAAGGGTTACCAGCACAGAGTTGGATGTAAAATGCTACTGGGCTGCCTATGCTCCTCCATGAGGGGTAACAGGTGTAAGTAAGTAATTTGGTGCATCAGCTGATATCATCCTATCATCGAAAGATAGCTAACCGCATCATTCTTCCTAGTTCCACTTAACTAGTGTTGTAGTAAACAAGTACACAGTGGGGGGACAATCGGATGTATTTCAACTCAGAATTACAGAGCGGGCTGCCAAATTCTGAGAACCATACAGTGAACACTTAATTTGCAAAATATTAATCAAATGTCTCAAATCTGAATGGTCGTTTTGTAAATATCAGTCAATCGTCTCAGATTTCACTGTTCCTGCATTCCCATACCAATTACTTTCTGTTTCCGTTCTTTCATTTTTGATCTCAATCTCCTGCTGGCAGACATTATATTTCCGACTAGCGTTATATACTACTTATAAGTAGCACACCACAGTACTAATAGGAGTTAGGTATCAATAATAAATCTATCGAATGATATTTACTCAACACCATACATGTAATTGGGGGTATAGATGAATAACGAGTGGTCAATGAAAAGTTTGGTTGAAGTCAATAAAATCTAAAAAAAACTTTGGGTGACTGACGGTGAACGACAGGAAACCCTCCTTCAATTGGATTTGTTACTATGTGCAAATCATTCTATTGGAGTACTTATGTTCTCTGGAATTGATGATTTTAGATACATATCACTCAGATTTAAACTTTAAATCAGTTTGCTCAAGATTGCACGTTTCATTTCCTAAGGTGTACCAACTGGCATGCAGGGTTGGTCAAGAAGAGTTTTCTGCGGACTACTTCCAATCACCTATTACCACAACATAGTATCAAGTCATTTAGACTAGTAACCATATTACAAATTAACTAATATAATTTCATCTGCTCTAAAGAATTAGATAAGCGTAGCATCAATTACTACTAAATGATTCAAGTAGACGAGTTAGACCGTATTATATATATATATATATATATATATATATATCATTCACTTATTCTTGTGTGTTTTTCCCTGAGTTAGATGAATCAAGAATAAATTAGTCATACATGATCAGTTGAATCGTCTGCTCTCTATACTTCCCAATCTGTCAGGTTATAGATCAGTGTTAGAATAATAACTTCACTCTACTATCAACACCTTTTAATTGTAACTCAAACTTAAGCTGTACAAATCTCAAGATTGTTCTAAGCAACGTATCATATCAGGGTTGTAAACTAGATCGAAACAGTATACTAACCCTTCACAAACTAATGAACAGACAGATAAAGGGGTATAACACAAACAAACACTTTATCTTTACTAAATTCATAGACTTTTTATATTGATAATCGTATGAATTTATTATAGATTATTTCTGAAACTTACTTGGCCAAATTCAATAAACTCCTACTTCTAATCAATAGAAAAACAAAATAAATAAAAAAGAAAACATGAAAGAAATCGAGTTATTTTATACAAAAAGTAAAGAAGAATGTTAAAATCATTGATTTTTATAGAAGGTAAAAAAGAAACCGGTTTATTGAGGAAAATCATTTTATTAACATTAATTATAATTTATTGACAGGAATACAGCATACAAGTTATAGATGAAGTTAATTACTGATATGTGAAATGCCCTAATGTACTATCTACTCCATAGTGAATTATTTTCTCAGATGACAATACTAAACATATACATTTATATAAAGAGATAGATAGATAGATAGATGTGTGGATAGATAGATAGATGTGTGGATAGATAGATAGATAGATAGATAGATAGATAGATAGATAGATAGATAGATAGATAGATAGATAGTACAACTCTTATTAATAACCCTAGAGGAATGTAAACTGTTTATAGTTGATTCAAGAAAATGCAACTTCTTAAAATTATCATCTTCATTGTCTTGAAGCTTTCTTTAACTAATACAATAGGTTGTTTTAGAAATCACAGAATGAATAATAGGATTTCATTTAAACGGATATTGGCTGACAAGTTTATGATATATCAGCTTATATTTAATCTCATACAACATAGTTTCCTTAGTAATATATATTGGAGACAAAGTTAATCAGATCTAGTAACCTTCTAAACTATCAGATAATGTATTATAACAAACCAACAGATTAATATTTTCTTCGTTAGAACGAAAGACAAAAAGGATTATGAATAATTAATTAATCACTGAGAAGTAATGGATGATATGTTCGTCAAGTTTTTTAATGCCTTTTACTAATCAAGTTTCAATTTGTTCACCAGTTATTCATGTTAGCTGGATACTTCAACTACCTAACATCTTGAAAGAATTCACTCAGTGTTGGGTTAGATAGACTATTGAACACATTAAAACTAAATCGATAGATTTTGTTTTACAGCATTTAAAAAAAAAACTAGACAAACATGATGTCAGTGATCAATCAATTGTCAACCTCTGAACTTTACAGAAAGTAGATCGAGACTTGAATAGCTCAGTGATAATGTCTAGAACATTAAATCTATGTGATACAAGTTTGAATCCAATAGGGAACATTAGTTGCCACAAGATTGCAGGTACATATTAAGAGCAAACTAATATAAAACAAAGACCTAGCAGGATGTCCTCTTGTCTACCTGTATCCCCTTATTAGAAGAGATTTTATTATATAATCACTAGATAAATCAAGTGCATATCACAGTTGTCACTAGTTTAAACAACATTGTTTCAAATGACCAAATTTAATAGAATGTTAATGACTCTTGTTGAATAGTTTTGTAGCTCCATTAAATAAATGAATACTGTTCAATTTCTACACAATAAGTTAATTTGAGAATAAATCATAAACTTATTTTAATACAGAAGGGGTTTTGTGGAGATTGTGGTAATTTCGATGGTTGAGATCATGAGTCGAATCTCGCAGTGGGGGCGAGGTCGCGGATGCTGAGGAGTCCTATACTAAGACGAAATGGCCATCCAGTGCTTCCAGGTTTTTTTTTATGTTGGTCTAGCTTCAATTGACTCATGATTTCAACTATTGAAATTACCAAAAATCTCTACAAAACCCCTACTGATAATTTAAAGAATTGTTAATGTTTAGTTTGTGTTATATTTCTTTTCTATTACCGAATTTTTAAACCATCCCATCACTCATACATATCTATTCACTTGATTCTCTTATATTACGTGAACTCTTCAAATTCTATTCAATTATTACGTAATCTAGCTTATTAGTTTTCAAATTTCACGAATTTTTCATTACCTTTAAAATTTACCATAGAATTGATCTTATCCGCCTATAAACTCCACTCAACTATTACATAACCCATCTTTAATTTTTCCTTAATTCTAACACCAAATAACCTCTAACCTGTTCTTGCATATATATATATATATATATATATATATATATATATATATAATAGTTATTATTGATAACCTTTGTCTTTCCAATCCTTTAAATTCACTTATGTCAATTGTTTCATACTACTTCTTATCTCAATATAAAATTCTAATACATATCAGTGATTGTAAGTAGTTGATGAGAATCCACGAAATATAATGAATTCATCTTATTCTGCGTCTATATTTGTTCTGACTTGATTGAAATTCATAAAAAGGGAACTAATCGTACAAATTTTTTTTTTTTTTTTTTTCAACAATTTTTTTCTTTTTAAATTGATATAAATAATTTCATAAAATTGATTTTATTTTATTGATAACTTTTAATGAAAGTTAATAATCATAAATATGTTGAAAAGATAAAACACCTAGGCAACTAAAATAAATAATTCTTTTCTGTTTTTTTTTTAATTTTTAAAAGAAAAAAGAAATAAATCAACAAATAAGTAAAAGATGAAATTATTTAATAATTCCAAAAGTTGAAATCATGAGTCAATTGAAGCTAGACCACCATAGAAAACCTGAAAACATTGGACGGCCGTTTCGTTCTACTATGGGACGCCTCAGAAGTGCTTTCAGGTCTAGCTTCAATTGACTCATGAATTCAACTGTTGAAATTTCTAAAAATCTCCACAAAACCCTTTCTGATAATAATCATCTTCTCACTAGTAAATAACTTCAACAGGCATTTCTTGAAGTTCTAGTTAGAAGCCGTGAGCAATGAAGTTCAATTAGTTCTGTTGTGAGATATCAGCTCATTGAAGACAATGGTGTACGATGGCGCAATTTTGTGGATTAATTGAAATTAGACATTAACACTGTTGAATTCCGGTCAGCTCAATGGTTTAATGGTTAAGCGCTCACGTGTGAAACTGATAGATCCTGTGTTTAAATCTCGCGAGGGGGAGCGGGTGAGATCGTGAATCTGCACTGCCATGGAGGAATCTAATCCTAAGACAAAACGGCTATCCAGTGCTTCCAGGTTTTCTATAGTTACCTAGCTTTAACTGTACCAAACCCCCTACTGACATTTAATAATCCTTTATTTTAGATTTATAAATCAATAATCATAATAGTAATTATAATCATTATTAAAGTAAATCATAAAATATGTAATAAATTACATTATTATTTTTTTGTTTTTGGGTGTGGTCTTTAATTAAAATTAAAATAAATAAATAAAAAAAGAATATTGAATTAGGAATATTATTTTCTTATTTAGAAATTATCAATGGAAAGTTTTAATAAATGAATTGTTCAATAATCAATAAATTATTGGCATTTATTGTTTTTGGTTTGTTTTGTTTTTCGATTGTTTTATGATATATATATATATATATATATATATATATATATATATTATTTCTATATAATTAACTTTTGTTAATTATAAGTATACTATTATTATCAATACTATCATTATTGTTACTATTATAATCTATACTGTTATATCCCAATGAGAATAATGAACGGAATGCTTTGGGATCCATTCATGGACCAATATGATATATATATATATATATATATATATATATATATATATATATGTATATATATATATACTTGAAATATTCCCATATTGTAAATTTAGGGCAACATAGATATAAGTGAACAATATTGTTTTCGATTAGATCGTCATCACTCTTTACTCTAATATACTTTAATATTTTTTATGTCTACACGAAATTATTAAACCAGTTAAGGTATTTTATGAGTTAATAAATAAACGATTACATAATAAGTGAAAAGTATAAATTGATAGTGTGATGACAGGTGTACTGGTTTTGATAAACAATAATAAAGGCTCAAATCAATGTTACATAATTGGAAATAGGTCACTGATTAGACAAAATATAGATAGTGAGATAACATTTATAAAATTATCAGAAGGGATTAAGTGGAGATTTTATAAATTTCACTGGTTGAAATCATGAATCCATTGAAGCTAGACCACCATGGAAAACCTAGAAGTACTAGTACGAAACGGCCGTCCAGTGCTTCCAGGTTTTCCATGGTGGTCTAGCTTCAATGGATTCATGATTTCAACCAGTGAAATTTATAAAGTTATAAGATAACGTAATAAGAAGTGTTCAGATAATTGAACCGTGAAAGGTATATTTGAGAGAAAATATAATGGTAGGAGGACGTGAAGAAAAATAATAAACGAAGGGTAATAAATTCATTTATTAAGGCCAAGGGAGAGATAAGGGTGTTACAAATTTCTTCTGAACACAAAGACTTGGCTTATTGACTCGAACTCCTATAGCTTCTGCTATGTGTAATAGACGAGATCGAACACCATAAAGAAAGCTAGTGGGAATACGATAAATAACTTTAAATGACTTGTTTCTGTCCACTACATAACCGCTATCGACCAAGTGTGATAGAACCGAGCTGCGTATTGTCATGACGTTATATTTTCTTAACCACGAAGAGAGGTGTGTCACTAACTTTTTGGTTCAGCTGCCTAGTAGTGCGCCCAATATAGCTTTCTCCACAGAAGCAGCTGAATTCGTAGATACACATACGAGTAGTATAACCAGGTAACTTATCCTTCAGTTGGGGAATCACCATAGATCGGGTCGAATACGATAGACAGAGGTTGATAGCATTAAACTTTCTGTTTACTGCTCTAATCAGTTTATCACGTAATACATGTAATCGTTTTCATTGTTATCATTGACTCATAAACTACCTTGATTGGTTTAATAATTTCGTATATGCATATAAATATTACTGTATATTAGAGTGAACTCTGATGAGGATCTAATCGAAAACAATATTGTTTGCTTATATATGTTGTTCTATATATATATCATTATTGTGTAATTGTTAAGTGTAGCTAAACTATGCATATTCATACTCCTCTTATTATAAGCTTTATTTTAACCTATGAACTATTGTTATACAAGACATTAAAGAGGAAGAATGTATTTGTAAAATCTCAGCGAATGACTTTTAAAGTAAATCTAACGTTTCATTTGGCAAGTTGGCAATCAGAAAGATTCTAACTTTTCAAAATATATGAGTATTCTTTCGAATAAACAATACTATAAAATCAAAACCAGTAAGAATCAAAGATCCAATACATAAGGAATAACAACAGAATTGTGTGTATGAAATCCAATATAGCGACTGTCATGCAACGTATGTGGGTAAAACATCATGGCAACTGAATGTGAGAGTAAAGGAACACAAACTATGCTTAAAGCACATTCCTAAATCTTCAGTTGAGGTAAGAAAACTCGAGAACAAATAGGCGATAGCATTACACTCAATAGAATCGGGTCATGAAATTGATTTCAATGACACAAGAATCCTTCAAAAAGGCTTTAATTCTTACAAAGGAAGACTAACAGCTGAAGCCCTACATAAATGGGCTAATCCAAACAGTATTAATAGGAGAGATGGAATACACCTATCTGTACCATGGCAACTAATAATTAATAAGTAAACCTGAACTCCTTATTCCATTCTAATTAACACATATATTACATTCAACGGTATACAGTAAATCGAAGAACCATCTACTTATTTATATTCAATAATTTTGATGTTTGATTAGCCTTCCTTAGAAAAGCTTAGACCAGATTGCTTACCAAAACGTTGGATTTACTTTAAATTTCATACGCTGAAATTTTATAAATACAACATTCTTCCTCTTTAATGTTTCACATTAACTCGGCGCCCAAATACTGTGAAACTATTCGATCAAATTTAGATGTAAGTTCTTATTTATTATTATACAATTTACCATTCATGAATTATACCATGTCTATCAATTACTATCTCCCACATTCACAGCCGATTGTGGTTATTTTATGGTAGGATGTGGTCTGTTTGATTTGTATATCAACCCAGTATGTTTGAAATAAATTATTCATTACACAGAGGCTGATATTGGTGTTCTGGACTTAACAGAAAGTGTTAGGCAGGAAGCAGGACCGATAAGGACTCTAGACTGCTCGTACAGATTTTATGCGTCATTGGTAGGTGAATAATTCACTGTTCTGCAGTTGGTGGTATCATCACGATATACATTAATAGGATACAGGGCACAAGTTATAACAATCACTTTCATTATTATTATTACCATTAATTAAAAAAATATTCGTCAAGATTAGAACGAATATTTTGACATAAATTTAGCGCCGTGTATAGAAAAGATAACGATTATTTTGATTTTAATTATTACCCTGAAGAAGTCCAGATAATTTAGCTGGACGAAACTATTGAAATTATTCAAATTTCAATCACTGGGTTTATTTCAAATATAGTTTTAACATAAAATATTACTATTATTATTATTATTATTACTGTACTTATCATTACTATTACTACTTCTGCTACTGCTACTACTACTACTGCTACTACTACTACTACTACTACTACTACTATTACTACTAGTAGTACTACTATTATTATATGAACACACAGATTGGTTATGTAGGCTATTGTAAATTGTCTAATTAAATAATTAACATCAAATAAGTAGTTATTTTATTGGATTCAAACTAATTTTAACATTAAAGTTGTACATGAAGAAATATATTTTGATATTCAATAAAAATGGATATATAAATTAATAAGGTATATATATATATATATATATACATGTTAAGTATACGTTATCATTGGTTACCTAGAAGAAGGATGGTTTTGCTTGATATTATTAGAGTAGATTGGAAAACATCTAGAGGTTATCAAACTAAAACGAAACCGCCTCCTAGTGCTTCCAGGTTTTCCATGGTGATCTAGCTTCAACTGACTCATGATCTTAACCATTGAAATTACTATAATATTAACAAAAACCCCTTCTGATACAATATCAATCTGTCAAGTTACTGATAATTGGTAAGTTTTAACTACTTGTCTAAGTTTTGGATGATTATCATAATCAATAGTTAAAGAATTTTCTTAACTTGGTTTATAATCTGTTGGAATGACACAAATGTATTCATCGTTTCTTACTTCTTAGATTTTACTAATATTGATACGACTTCTACTACTCTGAGATTTGTCTTTATAATCTCATTTTATTATTCTGATATAATGTGACAACTTGAAACAATTTATATGTTAAATGGTTTGTATGTTTATTATAAATAACTAGTTGTTTATAATTAGATATGGATAATGGTTATCAGTCGAATCCATGATGCGTGTTTTGTCATATTTAAGAAATCGTTAGCTGGATGTACATACACCTTAAATTTATTGTTCACTCTGAAACTCAAACCCATCCATCTCTAGTTATAATGATTGTGACATATGTCAATATCAAGATAGTTAGCACAGGATGCATATATGCAAATATCTTTTTAATAATAAATTCCTTTTATTTCATAGTTCATTTAATATCATGTATTGCGAATGTCCGGCGCTTTAACTGGAACCCAAACCAATGGTGTATATGGGCTCCAGTATCCTAAGGGAATAAATGGTGTATAAACCAATCGTTGGTCACTGGCTATCATGGTACTACATCTCCTTACGATACTCCACTGCCTTGTAGATCAGACCTTTAGGTCAAAGGCTCGGGGTGTGGCCCCCTAAGGAAACCACCTGCTTCGGTTTGGGCACCCGTGTAGTATCACAGCCTTCACACATATCAATTGAGATTTATGTGGTGTATATGTATTTGGTGCCCTCTTGTACCAATATCTATGTGTTAAAATAATATTAATAATAATTGCTTTCTCTCATTATAAATGATCATAACCTTCTAGTAATAATACGACTAAGTGGGTTTTAAAATCTGAAATGTTAAATAACCCAGAATAGAAGCTAACAACAATATTTTTCATTATTTTCTATTACATTATTCATAAAATTATAATAAACTTCTTTAATGGAAACAGTAATTTTCTTTTCTTGGGGTGTGTGTGTGCATAGGCGGGGGGGGGGAATGTTTTCTTATATGAATTATATCTTCTATTATATAATATCCTAACATATTGGTTCTCTATTCTTTTTGAACTTCTATTTGCTTATTCATTTCTTCAATAAAGCTACCTTAATTATTTTTTAATGCACAATTCTATCAACTATTTTATTTTTTGTGTAATAAAAACAAACCAAAATTATAAATTCTGCTTTTTATTTATTTATTTGCTCTGAAGAAGCGACTTAAAACAAATCACACAAAAAACCCATCGGAAGTTTCCGATATTACAAAAAGATATGATCATTTTATTTTTAATAGATACCTTTGGTGATTAGATTTTAAAGCACAATATTACTAGGTAACAATAATAATAACAATAGTAGTGGAGTCCCATTTTGGGACTCCTCCGTGACAGTGCGCATCCACGATCCTACTCGCGGGATTCAAAGCAAGCGACCACAATCTCGTGCGTGAACGTTAAACCACTGAGCGGCATCCAAAGGTGTCAATGTCTAACTTCAAACAATCCATGAAATTACGTGACCATCTTCCATTGTGTTAAGATAGACACCTGTCTCTACCCGACACGGATTAGCTCCGTTAGTAATAGTAATAATACAACCATTTATTTAATTCTATTCCATACATATTGGAAATGAAGCTGAGAGACTAAACATATTTCTGTGATGAAGATTTAACAAAATATATATCAATAAATCTTTTGGTTTTCAGTTCGATTAAGAATTCTGGTAGGCGGTCTATGGTTCTTCACAAAAGGTAACAAACGCAATTAAGTAAGTAAGTAAGTAAGTAGTAATATCTACGTATAATTATCAAAACAATAAGATCACTCTCGGGAAACATATTTCTTCCCCATTCGTTTCTTTGTACTATATAGTCATTTATATTTGTAATTACAATTAAATATTATTGAATTATTTATGGATAATTAAAGTATATATATATATATATATATGCATATATCCCACTATGTTGATAGATATGCGTAATAAACAGATACAAGTTAATGTTGTTAGTTTCTTCATAGTTGTAGTAAAACACTTACTATTATTATTATTAATGCTACTAATGACTACTACTAATACTATTACTTACCTTGCAACACTAGGCTGAGGTATAGCAGGCATACTAGAATTAAGCTGCATTAACTCCTTTTGGCATCTTCCCCTAGAGATTTTGTACAGAAAAAAAAACAATAACAAAACAGATAATGGTAACATATATATGTATATATGTATACACCTCTGTATAGTAAAACGTGAAGCATATTATCAAACAAATGTTACTATTGTTACTACTGTTGTAAGTAGTATGTATATATATGTATATATTATATACATTCATTTGTATTAATGATATAACAAAAAAACTTATAAAAATGATACATCATATTTATTTATATAAGTTTATATGTATGATTTTGTCAGTTACTATGGTTACCAAGGGAAATATATTGTCTTTCTTTTTTTTAATTTTGTCTCATAATTTAGAGACTTCGTGTAATAGAATAGTTTATTATTCCCAATAACAATAAACACAATAACTGTGATAATATAAATATTAAAGAATATAATGAAATGCTAACATCAATAAGGCCTATTATTGATTTTAGTAACTAGGTTGTAAATATTTTTTTTAAAGAAATGTATTGATTTGCTAACAACTATACTGTAAAAGAGAACAGTATATATATATATATATATATATATATATATATATATATATATCAGTCAGCTGCAACGTAGGACCAGGCACGTATATGCATCGGTCCAAGTTGCCATACCTATTTAGCGCAAGAAGATTAACACCGGATTTATAGAAGTAGTTAATTTAGTGGTAATATATAGAAGAAAGATTGAATATAAGGACATAGTACAGGAAGAAGGAATTAGTTGGTGGAAATAAAGATATGAAGCGATTTTATTCTCTCAGTTTAAGGGAAGACAGAGAGTGTATACACCGACGCCATTGTGATCGATTCTGAGCCATGTCACCAAGAGTCTCCAACCATTGGTTACGATAGTCACGCGGACCCCAACCAGGTAGTCTGCATCAACCAACATGGCTTAAACCAGAAGTTGGTGACTTCATGGTGTTCATGGTGTCTTTAATGGACTGAAAAAAATCTGTATAAACTTATGTAATTCATTAATCTCATGTCTGAAATGACTGAATTTGTTATGTAATGAATAATTAGAACACAATGTATAGTATATTATACAGAATAGGTTAATGTATAGCATTGACTTATTTTAATCTATTAATTAACTTCGATCAGTTATTCAAATAGTCATAAAATTTGAGATGGTGGCGAAAATTTGTAGTTCAAGTCGATGATTTTGATGAAGTTTTATTCTCTGAACTGGATGGGTTTGGTCGTGGAGCTCAAAGAATAAAACTCCATCAAAAGTTAGCCCTATAGCTTTGCATGATGTATAGCGAATAGTGTCTTAGTATTCTCTAACCGACCTGCTTCTAAGTTGATAGAACCTATAAGAACAAATATTCCAGTTAATATATCTCAATGAAATCATTTTGATGTATGTATCTGGTTACCATGTTAGAGTAGCACCTACTATCAGTATGAATCAACGTAGATTATTATGAAAAAGTTTACTCAATAAACAAAGATTAATTTCTTTAAAGTCTTATTGATTCACATATATCCTTGATTAAAATTTTCTCAATAAGGTTCATAATTAAGAAGTGTTTCAAATAAAGTATTGTTTAACGTTTAAACTTATGTAGAACTCAAATCTCAGCTTACTAATATCTATATATCATTTCAATTAAATCTTAGACTCAATGAAAATCAATTCAATTTATGTAACAATTAATAGTTTCATTCTGAATATTCATTAAAGGTATGTTAAGTTTTGTCTGAATAAATAAGATTGTTATAACAAAAATTTTAATCTAATTGGTGATACTATTTAATGATAAGTTAAATAAAAATGATACAGTTATTATATGCCGATGAGAATTATGAGTGGTAACTGTTGGGATCTATTTATGGACTAATACTATACGTATATTTTTATTGTATAATTGTTATGCAACTAAACTATTCATATTCGTGTTCCTCTCATTATGAGCTTTATTTTGATCTATGAACTATTATTGTACAATTTGCCATTCTTCAGTTATGGCCTTTCTATCAATTACAATCTCCCTTATAGCCACATTTGGCTAAATCTTGTACAAATGTTGTTTTCTATTTTGAGGTGCTATGTGGTCTATTTGGTTTGTATATCAACACAGTATGTTTGAAATAAATAATTCATATTGCAGAGGCTGAGATTGGTGTTCTGGACTTAACAGGCTGGGCTAGGTAGGGAAAAAGACCGATAAGTACTGTAGACTGCTCGTACTTGTTTCATGCGTCAGTGGTCCTATCGATAATTCACTTCTCTCTAATTGGCGGTATCATTATGTTATTACATTGAATAGGACACAGGGCACAAGTTATAACAATAGTGTTTTAGATTACTAACAAAACTGAATACGAGATAAATAGAGATCAAATTTTGATTCATTCAGATTCATTCACATTAGCATACTTTCATCCACTAAACTATCAGTGAATTCAGTGAATAAAATTGCTTTACAATATAAAGATGTTAGATAAAAATATCCGATATGTACAACATTTTGACACCTCAAAGCGCTGTCGAATAGTCTGAACTCAATTAAAAACATGTAAATGCAGTATCCTAATATTTGAAGTTAACCAATCAAAATCAAGACCTATAATGATTGATTCATAATAGTGTTACCCGAAAAATATCAATGACATATGCATATTATCTTTGTATTTGTTTTCACAAATATCTTTAGACAAGTAATACGATTAATTCACTTGGTGAATTAAACTTCACCCCATTGCGCAAGCAAGTGGCTATCAGAACTCAATAGCTAAGTGGATAATGCGATGGCATTTGAAGCGAACAGTACTGGATTCGAGTCCCAGAATGAACATCAACATCTCTGAAATGCAAGTACATGCAGATGACGAATCCCAAATAGGACGAAATGCACATCAAACTGGATTCCACTGCTAGCAACTATCCATCTTTGCTTATAAGTTATAAGATTTTTCGAAATTTATTTCTAACGATTTAAAACTACTACTGATAATATAAAACTAAAGTTTATATAATAAACTTAAAATTAAACAGAAACAAAGCTCATTGAAAGCTTTTTTCATACCATTGAAACAGAGAATATTATGATATAATATAAATTAAGAAATTTGATTCTTACGTAAATGTATAAAATTGACGACGTTTAAATAAACCACCATTAGCTTTGGATTCTTTAGCATCAACAGATCGATTTAACCTAAATAGAATAAATTTGATATGAAGAGTTTTTTTCACAGATAAACAATGCGATGAATAAGTTATATTCAAAGCTGACATACTCTATCAAATAACAATTGATATATATATATATATATATATATATATATATATATATATATATAAGTCTAGTTGGCTTGATGAGCTGAACTCATTACATGATACCAAACACTATGAAATACTCCATTTTGAAAACTAGTCAGTGAGTTACCTATCAATTTCTTCTCATTCAATTCACTTAAACATGACTAGTTGTATGGCGTAAATAATACTTTAATTTAATGGTAAACAAACCTTCTAAATTAACCTATGGAAAGAAAGACTAGATAATATGAAACATTTTACTGACAATAAGTTATACTTTTTCTTATAAACTTAGTAACAAACATCTATCGATGATCAATGAATGAAATTTTTGACAATACAAGTTAACATTGTTAAGTTTTAATAAGCATAATGATCGATAAGTCATTGCTCCTTAATTGGCGGTATTATTACGTTATCCGTTAACAGGGCACTCAGGCTACAAATTATAACACAATGTAATATTGTGAAGATTGTTGAACATTATTGAGAACATGAACAGATTTAAATTAGACATTCAATAGAGATCAGTAAGTAATAGACGTTTATTTTGTTATAGTATAGAATTGTTCGTAAATATCTGTTGATAACTTCATATCTGGTAATCAAACCCTAGGATCTTTGATCACACGCATGAACTCCTAACTACCAGATCAAAAATCATACATAAAACAAATACTCAATTAATTCTAACAGAAAAAATCTCACTGGTTGAAATCATGAATCAATTAAAGCTAGACCACCATGGAAAACCTGGAAGCACTGGACGGCCGTTTCGTCCTAGTATAGGACTCCTCAGCAGTGTGCATCCACAACCCCGCCCCTCGCGAAATTCGAAACCAGGACCTATCAGTCTAGCGCCAGGCGCTTAACCAACTAGACCACTGAGCCGCCATCCAACGGTGTTAATGTCTAACTTCAACCAATCCACGAAGTTGCGCCATCGTACAACATTGTCTTCAGTGAGCTGATATCTCACAACAGACTTGGTTGAACTCCACTGGTAACAGCTTCTCACTAGAACTTCAGGGGTATCTCTTGAAATCAGTCTCTAGTGAGCAGATAGGTCCTGGGTTCGAATACCCCGAGGAGCGGGATCGTGGATGCGCACTGCTGAGGAGTCCTATACTAGGACGAAACGGCCGTCCAGTGCTTCCAGGTTTTCCATGGTGGTCTAGCTTCAATGGATTCATGATTTCAAACAGTGAAATTTTTAAAATCTCCACACAATCCCTTCGGATAAAAAAAATCTATTCAAAATTCTAATATATATATATATATATATATATATATATATATATATTTTACTTACGTAAAAAAACATTGACGATCAACTGCCCATTTCCATAATGCTTCAGCGGATTCTGGAGTTGGACATTTAAAACCAAGTGTATGTCGACGCTTTAAAATTAATTCAATTGTTCAAAATAATATTATGTTAAAAAGTGAAATTGATAATCATCTCAATTCTTTAATAAGGCTATAAATTATCAGTTTTTCAGTAAAGTAAACAATTACTTTTGAAAGATTAGATTACTTAATGTTTGAATATTTCCATCCATAATATTTAGCGTTAATCCTTTTGTGAGAATAACGAAAACAAGATATAAATTCTTAATTTAACATAAGAAATCTCTAACTTACATTCTAGAATAGCCTTGGGAGGGTTAGGTACCTGTTAGGCCCCGATAAGCATAATGAATGGTAACTTTGGCATCCATTTATGGACTAATACTATACGTATATTTTTATTGTATAATTGTTAATTAATTAAACTATTCATATGTATATTCCTCTTATTATAAGCTTTATTTTACCCTATGAACCATTAGTATACGTTTGAAAATTCTTGGATTATTCCCTGTTTATTAGTCACTGCCTCCCATATTCATAGCCACATTTGGCCAGATTTTGTACACATGTTATTTTCTATTTTATGGTACGTTGTGATTTGTTTGGTTGGTGTATATAAAACGAGTATGTTTGAAATACATGATTCATATTGCAGGGACTCGGTTTGGTATTTTGGACTTAATCGGCTGGGCTAAGCGGGAAGTAGGATCAATCATGAATCAGAAATGCTCATACGGGTTTACGCGTCATTGATCCGATCGATAATTTACTTCTCTCTAATTGGCGGTATCGTTACATTATCCATTAATAGGGCACACAGCCCACAAGTTATAACAGTACCCAATTACTGAAAATTAGGATAGCCACTTTGCTCTACAATAAAATTCTTTAAAAGTAACTATATTAAATAGTTTGTTGGCTGTACCACTAGAGAGCATCGTCCTTGATTTACTCTGTCGCTTACTAGGGTTTCAGTTAACTCAGTTGTTTAATTACTGAAAATAAAACTTAATTTGGAAGAAACATAAATGATGTTAATAAATAACTAGCAAAAACAAGGAAACACTGAACAGCTATTTAATCCAACAATCACATCCTCCAACAATGCGTAAGCACAATCCCATCAGAAGTGATTTAATTCAAGATAGTCAGGTCAGCGAATGATTAACCTTTAGACCACTGAGCCGACATCATATGGTGTTTTCAACTGATTTCCTATTAATTGTTTAATTTTTCACACTTAAGCTAACGCCTGCTATTGTTCAGTCTCTTATTGGTAAAAGGGCATCCTGTGCGAATTGTCTCGATACTGACTTTATAGTGAATAGAACACGGGCGGGGACAGTCAAATGAATTTGACTTGTTAATAAAATCTACAAACCATATAGTGAATGCTTAATTTGCAAAATGTCCATCAATTGTCTCAAATGACTCAGATATCATTGTTCCTGAATTTTCATACAAATTGCATTCTGTTTCCATTCTTTACTGTTCGATCCTCTTGGCTCTCTGCTGCCAGACATTCTGTTCACTACTAACATGATATACTACTTATGTCTATATAAATAGCACACATCACAACTTAAGTTACAAGCATTATGAACAAAGATGGATAACGTCTAGCATTGGAATCCAGGATGCAAGTTTCTTCCTATTTGGGCCTCATCAACTTGGTATACCTGCATTCGAAAATCGACACTCACTGCAGGACTCGAACCCAGTATATTTCAATTCAAATGGCTCCGCCCTATCTACTTAGCCACTGATTTTTAATAGCTAGTAACCCGTATAATGAGATGAATTTGAATTTGAATTCACATATACTGGCTTCCTATAGACCTTTAGGACTGGGATTGATCAATTTTTCTCTCTCTAGCTAGCTACCATCCATCTCTGCTTATAATGCTTATAACTTAATGAGTATATCGAGGCATCAGTATAATCGGATCTCTCAGCAAATTCTTAATCTTCAGAGTACTGAGCCAACATCAAATTGTGTATATATTTGGCTGTGATTTGTTCAAAACACTTCATTAATATTACTTTTAGGTAACATTTTCAAAGTGTTTAAATTAATAAACGATATCATTATCTATAAATATCTGTTATTATATAAAATATCCTTTAACATGATGCAAAATTAATTAGCTTAAGGAAACAATCAAACCTACCTGTTCCCATTCCACTTGTATAATGAATAACTTCCCTTCATAACTTATCTTATTGATTTTTTGCCTATCAATAAATTATTAATTTTTAGAATAGATAAAATGTCAGTAAATGAAAATACTGTCATTGACTAAACAAAATATAATAAAACAAACAAAACATTGCTTGATTATAGTGTATGTAAGTATCAACTATATAAGATAGGATTATGTTCGAAAGTATTTTGGAATGGAGAATGCTGGTCGGCGGCCTATGCTCAATTGAGAGTAACAGGCATAAGTAAATATATATCACAGTTATCTAATAAACCCTTGTGGGCCAGAGTAATTTTAGATCGCTTTTCAGGAGAATCAGACACCGTACAGACTCACGTGACAACCCAAACAGTACAGCTCAATCCCGTTTAAGAGGAGAGCCAGATATTGTATAGGCTTTAACGCTACAATCTGAATAGAACAGCTCAATCCTGTGGCGCAACCACACAGGTACCAAACACCCTGGTGGACCATTCGCACAGTTCATATACACATTCACATCACATGTGTAGTTATTCCGACCAATGACTGCGTGAATCAATTATGCACAGCACGAACAGGCCAAAGTTGACCTATTCCGCTTACACGACAGTCAAACTCATTGATGTTCGCAATAGCGACATGCCTTACAATGTCCCAATGACAATGGCCCTCGAGAACACTGAAAAGCAACCACCAGTATGACTGAAATCGGTTAATCAGCAAACCAATATTGTGCATGAACAGTCAGCAAAACTTGCTAAAGCAATGCCGAACCATCCACAATACCAATGTCGACCCTTTAGCCTCATATGAGACCTTCAGCTCTACATAACCGTATAGCTATATAGCCATATAGCTATATGGCTATATATAAGTAAATAAGTAAGTAATTATATTATAGATAGATGATGTAATGTTTATTGTTTTAATAAACTACTCACATTTTAAAGAATCATATGTTTGATCTTATAGCTGGAGTTATATAACTGATCAGCCACTTATTAGTCACCGTTACGAATTTTTGAAAAAATTTTAAATACTGACCAATTTCTGTCGATTAGGCTGCAATATAGTCAGTAATCTAATGAGCTTAAAATATTGAATTCTATATTTAGATGTTAGGCATTTGGAAGTAGTTGACTTGAAACTTTATTTGATTTAGGTTTTATGCTACTTATCACCTACTAGTAAGGCATACCTGCATTTGCTAGTAGGCTAATGTTTTCTGTAGGACAAGTTAAACATGATATTAGTCACAATTTAGTGATCAATTAATTGTAAATACCTCAGGTCATTTGTTGACTCACTAACCCAGTAAGTATGTGATAAATTTTGAGACTGGACAGCCCGTAATTGAACCCAATAGGTACTCATCACTGACGAATGTCAACTAAGATATAAGGTAGGTCAGTGGATACTGTAGGCTACTCTCAATTACCTCAACACCTGTACATCTGGTAAGACTTAATACTGGGAAGGCTCCCGGTGAACTAAAGGAAGCTCTAAAAAGTTACGGAAAAACTGAAGGCATTCCATCTAGTCATCTTTTGAAAGAACGTTCTAGAATCTCGATGTATAGCTTTCCGATTAGATAAGTGCTGAAAACCAGTACATGCGGATTGAATGATTGTAATGATGATTTCGTTTGTACTAAAAACTATAAATAACATAGTTTTTGTACCATATTTGACTATTTAGAATAAAATTTCTTTCCACCCGTTTTCTAATATCTAACTTGCATTTCGAAGGATTCAAGCGTTCAAGCGCTCAAGTTGTACACATCGTAGCAAAAATTCAAATTTTAGATATGACACATAGAAAGTATTTATCCAATGTTTTCTTAAGGTTTAAGAACAATCATATTATTTCAGAAATACACATAGATTAAAGTAAGTATTCCATCATTAGAAGTCAGTAAATATTTCATCGATTATTTGGTTATTGATAGATAGTTTATATCTCTACCTACATAAGGTGTACTTTTGAAAGAAAATATCTACAGTTAAATTCATTTTGTCTTGTTTATATGAATCATCTTATTGATGCTCGAGACTGCAATACATCAATCTATTATTGGTATATATATATATATATATATATATATATATATATATATATATATATATATATATATATATACCTTGTACGGATTGCCTCGATATTGTCTTAGGTTACAAGCATTACGAGAGGAGACGTATAGTGTCTAGCAGTAGAATCTAGGACGCGATGACGTTTCACGCGAATGGCTCTGGGTTTGAATCCCAGAATGAACACCAACTCTGGGATGTAGATACACTCAGCTGACGAGTTTTGAATGGGGTGAAACGCACGTCCTGGCCTCCACTGCTAGCCACCATCCATCGTTATTTATAATATCTACCGTTAGTCTTCAGAACATATGTTTTAATGAATGAGTATAAATGAAAGTAGTTATTTACAATATCAAATTTCTCTATGCCTATAACATAACCTTTTGTAAATACATTTGTTAACAGAAGTTTCGAAAAATGAATATTCCTATCAATCATAAATATATTTCGATGTTAATGTAAAATAGTTGCTTTATTTATTCTTTTTTTTTGTTTACTTAATCTTTGAAAAAAATTCGTATATTTATTATATTTAAATACATAAGCATTGGTACAAGGAGAAACCAAATAGATATGTGCCACAAATCATTCGATTTGTGTAAGGGTTGGAATACTGTCCAGGTGCCCAAACTGAAGCAGGTGGTTTTTTGAGGAGGCCACACCCGTACCCTTCAACCTAAAGGTATAATCCATAAGGCAGTGAAGTAACGTCAGATGCAGTCCCATGGTAGCCGGTCAAGAATAATTGCTTCATAAACCATTTATTCCATCAGGATCCTGGAGCTCATATGTACTGTTGGTTTGCAATCAGGATTTTTCAACTTCTCTAGGTGGATCCTTTGTGTTCACCAACCCGGTTAAAGTGCCGGAAATTTGCCTTTCGTCCACTCAATTTCGTAAACAACACCCACGCCGCTAGAAGTCAGTGAGTAAGGCTTCCGTGGCAGTAGTTGTATGCACGTGGCCATGTGAGGGCATTTGGAAAGAGAGATCTGACTCTCTCCACTCTCCGCCGTACCAGGGAATTTGTTTAAACGCATGAAATAATAATGGACAGACAATGGTAGAAAAGTAAATAGTATACACAGTGTATTAATTTATTATTTATTTTCAGTAAAGTGTTTTATTGAAGATTATAGAAGAGTATTGAGTTCAGTCTTTGATGGCATGATCATGAATGCGCGATGTCGTTGAGGTGTTCTAAACGAAACAGATGTCCTCTGCTTCCATGTTTTGAATGGTTATTTAACTTAGATCATTTCGTGAAATCAATGAAAATTCAATTTAATGTATTCATAACAAAACATCCATTTAAACCATAAATCAAAAATATACTGCTAAGATTAGTGTACAGAATTAAAGAGATTGCTCAAGTACAGAGTTTATACCACTAACCAATTCTAGCTATGCAATTTATGAAAACTAGAAAGCATTTGTCAACTATTCTATCTTAGAATATGACAATTCAAAAGTAGTACGGATCCACAAACGTACTAAATAAAAGATCACATTCATAGCCTTCAGACCTCGTGATAAGCTCTAAATCCTTAGACTAATTAACTATCAACCAGTGGATCGCATGATTTAATTCAATCAATTCCTAATGTTACACAACCATGTACCATTTGTTCCATGTTTCCTGATTTTCAATAATTGGTTAGGTAATTTTACTCAATGACAAGAACTATGTTATTCTCTCTCTCTATACAGATAATAGTCATTTGTTCACAAGTGAATAATTCCGAAGGGCGATTCTCAGAATCCTAGAGACAAGTCATGACAAGCAGAGTTTAATTATATCAGATGTAAAGTAATTGTTCAGCGAAGGAGATGAAAGATTGTTACTCGATATTACGAAATGTTAGACTATTTAAACATAGTTTCTGAAATTCCCAGTTAGTCGGAAATAAAAAAGCGAATATCCGGCGCTTTAACTGGGTTGGTGGACATGGAGAGTCCACCTAGGGGAGTCGGAAAACCCTCATTCCAAACTAATGGTGCACATAGGCTCCGGTATCCTGAAGGAACAAATGGCGTATGAACCAATCGTTGGTCACTGGCTATCATGTGACTGCATCTCCTTACGATCCTCTACTCCCTTGAGGATCAGACCTTTAGGTCAAAGGCTCTGGGTGTGGCCACTTAAGGAAATCAGCTGTTTCGGTTTGGGCACCCGTGCAGTACCAGAGCCCTTACACAAATCAAATGTGTTTTATGTGGCCCATATGTATCGAGTGCCCCCTTGTACCTGTATTTATGTGTTCAAATAAATAAAATAAATAATAAGTCAGAAATAATAATAAACACATCATTCACTATCAAAAGTCTGACAGCATCACACAAACCTCTATCTTTAAAAGTTCTTTAAGCTTTCCACTCTCATAAATGTGAATAGCATATTATGAAATGTTAATAATAATTACTATTACTGTCATCATTATTACAATAAAAATAATTGACTGTTAGTACATGGATTTATGATTATTGTTGAATTTTACTGTTTACATCACGAGCTTATCTTAGTTAGACCATCATTAAAAATCCGAAAGTATTGAGCTGATATTTCGTCTCAGTATCAAACTCAGTGATAGAGCGTACCTACGATCTCACTGGAGGGAAATAAACCAAGACCACCGAAACGTACGTCCATAGCTTAACATTTAGATCCTTGGGTCAGCATCCAATGGTTTATGTGTCTAACTTCAATGAATTTGCGATTATTATTCAACTGTTTTTTAGTGACGTGATACGTTTAGCTCATTGATGTTAAGTATTAGGCAACTATCAACCGATGTAATCAAAAAATAGTTCAAGCATTATGAGGAACTGATTGAAGCTAGGTCTGTAAACTATCTGATATCGAATCAATTGGCCTGATGATTTGGTGTTAGCAGCAAGTTCTGAAGATCATGGGTTCAATCTCGTGTGGCGTTATTGTTCGTGCGCACTAATGAGGAGTTCAACAATATAACAGAACAGCCGTGAAGTACTTTTAAGACTGCAGTTGATCAGTCTGTTATTTGCATATGTGCATACTGTGTGTATTGCCTCGATATTGCCTTAATTCACAAGCTTTTTGTAAGCAATGATGGATAGTGGCTAGCAGTGGAATCCGGTTTGACTCGCGTTTCGTCCTGACGAATCTCACATGAGACGAAACGCGCGTCCCAGATTCCACTGCTAGCCACTATCCATCATTGCTTAAAAGAAGCTTGTCAATTAAGGCAATATCGAGGCAATACGCACAGTATGCACATATCCAAATAACAGACTGATCAACTGCAGTCTTCAAAGTACTTCACGGCTGTTCTGTTATATTGTTGAACTCCTCATTAGTGTGCACGAACAATAACGCCACACGAGATTAAACCCATGACCTTCAGAACTTGCTGCTAACACCAAATCATCAGGCCAATTGATTCGATATCAGATAGTTTACAGACCTAGCTTCAACAAGAACAAGCAATGAACAACCACAGTATTATACTTACTCTATCCATTAACCAATTTTGGACATTTAATGATTTAGACTTGATGATAAATTTGAGTAAACAAACTTTATCAAAACTTAAAAGTATCCTATCGACTTAATTGGACTTAAATATTCAAATCATTTATCAGGGCTTAGCTTTTAACAATAGATATGTGTATAACTAACAACTAGAGCAACCATGTATTTAGGTACTTGGAATGCTCGTACAATATGGGAGACTGGGAGAGTCTTCCAAATCGTTGCAAAAATGAGAAGATATAACCTAGAGGTGCTTTGGATCAGTGAAACACGTTGGACGCAAGTTGGACAACAACGACTAGCTTCAGGAGAGCTTCTGTTTTATTCCGACCATGATGAAGAGAATGCCCCACATACAAAAAGAGTTGCATTGTTGCTGTCCAAACAAGCACAAAATGCACTTATAGGATGTGTATAACTCCATTCATAGCCAAATATCATTATTATAATTAACAACTAATAAGATTTATATTCAATAATCGGTTACATTTCCTTCATTCTTTCATAAAATTTCATTTTTTTTAGACTGATTTACTACCATTGAACATCATTAATCTCTCACTTATGTTGAATTTATTTTTAAGCTCCGATCGTTACAAAGAGGTACCTACATATATATATATATATATATCACCAACTACCGATTTGTTTAAATATTTAAAAAGCATCTTACCAACTAAAAACATGTGCTTTTCTACTTCCTCTATACGTGATGACACCTTCATGATTTAATCCCATATAAAAGTGATTGCCTTTACGATCCTAGAAATATAAACAAAAGATAGAAAAGCAATACAATTATTTTCGTTTTTATCAATGTTAAAATAATTATAGTAAATTCACTTGATAGAGGACTGATGAATTACATTCCGAAACATTAATGAGAAGATACACCTATTGCACAAACAGATGGATATCAGGACTCAGTAGTTAAGTGAATAACATGATATCGTTTGAAGCGAACAGTACTTGATTCGAGTCCTACAGTGAACATCAACTCTAGTATGCAGATATATCCAGCTGATGAGTCTCAAATAGAACGAAACGCGCGTCAAACTGGATCTCACTGATAGCCACTATCCATCTTTGCTTACTCATATAATAAATGCTTAATAAATTAAACATTGAATAATATGCTGAATACATTTTCTTTATTATTTTCTTTTGCATATATATATTCAATTATCATTTATAAAAGTAAGTAAACAAAGAGAATTAAATTCACTTGAAGCATTTAATTTACATTGAGTATCTATGTAAATGTCTTAGAAGTCCTTCCATTCTACAGATCATCATTATTGATTATTATTTTAACATTACTAAAAATGCCAATATGGTATATTTGAACAACATGTATAAGCGAACCATATTGTTTAAAGCTAGATCCTCTTCACGTTTTACACCAATATACCTAGATATTTATATTCATATATGGAATTATTGAACTTTTTAAGGCAGTTTATAAGTAAGTGATAACAGTGGAATAGATTACATTATTAAAAATAGTGATTAAATAGTACAAATTATTACTGTGATGATAGGCGTACTAGTTATGGTAAGAATAATAAAGATTTAAACCAATGTTTTGCAATAGGAAATAGATCAATGACTTGAAAAAATCAACAATGAAATAGCATTCATTAAGGACAGTGAAGCGTATATGTGAAAAAAAGAGGAGTGAAGAAAAAAAGACAAAAATATGTATGGAAAATAATAGTAACTAAAATCATTTGTTAAGGTCGATTCGACCAAGCGAAAGATAAGGATGTTACAAATTACTTATGAACACAAAGACAGGTTGTTAACTATAGACGAGGTTGAACCTCAAAAAGAAAGCTTTTAGGTTTACGATAAATTATACTAAATGATTTATTTCTATCTAGTACGTGGCCGCTATCGATCAACTGTGATAGAATAGAACTCGGTATTGTTTTTTTCATTATAACCCATCTTAACTAAGAAAGGAAGTGTTCACTAACTCTTTGGCTCAGTTGTCTGGTTATATGCCCAATAAAGATTTTACCATAGCAGCAGGTGAATTTGTAGATATACATGGAAGTGGGAAAACGAAGTAACCTATCCTTTGAGGTCGGTTAGAAATTAATAGACAGTGGTTAGCTGCATTAAACTTCCTCTTCGTTGATAATAATTATGTTTTTTGTTATATTCCAATAAGTACAATAATTGTTTTTTCGGACGTTTTGTAACTTAATATAACCTACATCTTCAGAGTAAATATATAACTGAATCAAATTCACACAAGTTCGAGATTATGTTAAGAATATTGTACATATAAACCTGTAACTTTAAAGGATATTATATCAAAAATACTGTTTATTGAGATGCAATCTTTGTAGATTAAAAATATCATACTACTCTTTGCATAGTTTTAACTGATTAATTTAGTTATCTTCATTGCTTAAGCTAGTCAATCTCATAGTAACTCTCTAGCTACATCTTTAGTGAACAAAGGAACAAAGGTTTCTTATTAACCGTTCGTGTCGCTATTTCCCCTTTCATTATAAACACGTGTTTCTTTAGAAAAACTTGTAGATAACTCATTTCAATCAAGATATTATGATTAAGCTTTAGTTTGTTGTTTACGGTGTCATTTGAGCATATTTTCCTAAACCTACTTACAAAACATCTAACTAGATTTTGCGTACTATTTTCTTAAACATAAAAAATTACTTTGTTAGTGTCTAGTGTTGTCACTGGGACATTTGATTGTTGTTAATGATCAATAGATATATTTATAGAATGGATAAGCAGGTTGGCAAATTTACTTATTTGAGAACAATATCAGCTCTTATGAAACATATGACTGAACTCAGAATGTTATTTTGACACTTAATAACTGACAAACTGACAACATATTCTCTACTTTATTTAAAAACATTTATAGATCAACGTCTCGCATTATTTTACTATACAGGTACTGAAAATGACAAATAATAATAAAGTTCTAGTGAGAAGCAGTGACCAGTGGATTTCAACCGGGTCAGTTGTGAGATAGTAACTCACTGATGACAATGGTGGGTGTGTAACTCAATTTCATCGATTAGTTAAAGTTAGCCATCAACACTGTTGGGTGCCGGCTCAGTGGTCTAATGGTTAAGTGCTCGTGCACGAGACCAGTTGGTCCTGGGTCCGAATTTTGTGGGACGGGATCTCAACCTCAACTGACGAGATCGCCAAGTTGCGACGAACAGTTTACATCCTCACCAAACAGATAGCCCAGCTCCGATTTCGGAATACCTCCAACTGCAAGTGTAGAGAAAGATCCAGAAGCCGTAGACATCGTAGTCCAAGTACTACCAGACATAACATTTGTTGGTACCATAGGACGTACTGTAAACAATCTAGAAAGTGTACTCTCCCCTGTAACTTCGCAAGCACACATTAAAGGGAACGTCAAGGACGTCGGTTATTGAAAACTGCGGTCGCTCGCCACAACTCTTAAGACAGTTGTTTGTTATATGTCACAGACAAAAGAACTGGAACACAGTTCTTAGTCGACACCTGGGCAGTGGTTAGTGTAGTATCACCGACTACACTTGAGAAAAACACACCTGACCCCAAATTAAAACTACAAGCTGCAAACAGATCTGAGATCAAGAAGTATGTCAAAAGGCAGTTATAATTAAATTTCGGTCCTAAATCTAATTTTTCATGGAGCTTCATTGTAGCTGACGTCCTCGTTGCTATAATCGGCATTGATTTTCTGTAATTCCATAAAATACTGGTAGACGTTCGAAATCTAAAAATTGTCCTCGCCGATCATAGCATCAAAATTAGAGGGATTATATCTAGTGAGACGTCCATACATTTATTAATCAAACCTCATCACTAGAATGACAATAAATATAGTGTTTGCTACAAAACCTAACAAAAATGAATTTTGTTTTGTGTGCGTGTGTGCGAATAGTATATGTTGTGTTATAGCCCAATACTTTTAAAACTTTAACTTCATCTACGGGAATCTATACAGTAACGTTTATTAATCAACAGTTCTATCATGAAAAGATAACAGAATTCCAAATGATCATTGTGGTCACACGTCTATATAATCAGTAGTATAATGATTAACAAATAAATTATAAAAAAAAGATTAATAGATTTTTAATATCAGTTCAGGGGTTGTGGAGATGGGTAAATTTTTGATTGAGATCATGAATCGATTGATGTTAGAACACCATTTAGAAGCCGTGACCAGTGTAGCTAATCCATATCGGGGAGAGACAGGTATCTACCTCACTACAATAGAAGATGGTCGCGCAACTTCATGGATTGGTTGCGGTCAGGCCATAACACCATCGGATGCCGGCCCAGTGGTTCAGTATGTTAAGCGTTCACGCGCGAGACTGAAGGCCATGGGTTCGAATCTAGCAAGGCAGGATCGTGGATGCGCACTACTGAGGAGTCCCACAGTAGGACAAAACGGCCTTCCAGTGCTTTCAAGTTTCCAACGAAAGTCTAACATCAATCCGTTCATGAACCCAATCAAAGACTTTTAATAGTTGGTATCATTAAAATGAATTCAATTCAATCAATTTAGTTTTAGTAATTATAATCCGATTATGTTTATTACTTTTTTTTGTATTTTCAAAATTAATGACTCTATTTGAAAAGGAGAAAAAAAAACAAAATGAAAATTTCCATCAACAATTTATTTACCAAATGAATAGCTATTGTACTTTAATTAAGTAGGTATTTTAGTTCATTCATCATTATTTAGGTAAAGGACACCGTTTTTTTTCATATTTTTTTATTTTTTTTTGTAAATAATTCATTTGTTAAATTCATTACAAAACCGGTAATTAAAATAAAAATACTCTGTATAATAGTATCATCGAATTATAATGGAGTGATTATTAGTTTTACATTTAGTAATGTAACATTTGAGATGTTAGGTGGTTAAAGGTAGCTTATAAACAATTATGAACTTAGATTTTATACTATTGAATTGTTCATTGGTTCGTTCTTAGACTGTGCAAGTTTCAATCTATTAGGGATAATCATTTCCATGGTTGAGATCATGAGTCAATTGAAATTAGACCATCGTGGAAAACCTGGAAGCGTTGGATGCCGGCTTAGTGGTCTAGTGGTTAAGCGCTCGCTCACGAGACTGGTAAGTATTGGGTTCGAATCACGAGGGTGGCGAGATCGTGGATCCACACTGCTGGTGAGTCCCACAATAGGACGAAACGGCCGTCCAAAGCTTCCAGATTTTGCATGGTGATGGTCTAGCTTCAACTGACTCATAATCATAACCATTGAAATTACTATAATATCCACAAAACCCTTTCTGATAATAATCATTTCCTGTATGACCACAGGTAGGCTTTGCTATTGAGTCCATACTAGCATAAAATCTAGGTCAAGTAGGATTTTCTGTCCAGGATCTTCAACCACTTGACAATTCAAAATAATGCATGGAAAGTTGATTCATTTAGACTAATGGCCACATTGATACGTCATCGATAGAGTTCAATCAACGGCACTTAGAGAAACAGATAAAAATGACATTAGTCACTACTTAATAATCAATCATATATATCAACATTATTTGAAGAAACCTTCACATGAATCCATTAATAGAACCGTTACACTAGATAATTTAACATAAACTAATATAAAACATATACCGTTTAATAGAGTATGTTATGATAATTAACTGATGACAATTATAGTTATCTCTTGAATGAAAGATGTATGTAACAATACTTTATGTGACCCTATGAATTTGTAAGAAGCCATCA